AAATTGCAAACAGACACACTTGTCTTTAAAGGACTACGAAATAAAGTTGTTAATGAAATCAGAAAGTCAAGGTCCACATATTTTATGCAATTGTTTGCTGAATCATGTGGAAATAGCTCTGAAATATGGAAGCAGATTAACAAGTTGACCAATCGCAAGTGCAATTTAAGAAAATGTGTAACAAAGCTCGATATAAATGGAATGGTTAGCAATGACTCTGCAAAAATTGCAAATGAATTCAATTAAAATTTTATTAATTCAGTAGAGCAACTTGCTGAAAATTTAAATCCAATTTTGCTTCCATGTAATGTTGCTGAAGATTCAGCCTCACTTTTTCACATTAAACAGGTTGACCATAGTCAAATAAGGACAATTATCAATCAATTAAATTCATCCAAAGCTAAAGATATATTTGGTTTAGATACATTTTTAATCAAAAAGTATAGTGCAGATCTAGTAAAACCAATATCGAATCTAGTGAACTTGTCAATTAAAAAATCTGAATTTCCACAAGGGTTTAAAACAGCTGTTGTGACTCCAATTTTTAAGTCTGGATCAGCTGATGCGGTCTGTAATTATCGACCCATTGCAATTGTACCTGTCATTTCTAAGGTGCTAGAGAAGCTAGTTGCTGAACAATTAATGGCCTATTTAGAGGAGAAAAGAATACTTAAAGGAATAGTACACCCAAAACATGATTAGCCTTCATTTTCTACTCACCCCCATGCTGAACAACACTCTGGAGTACTTTTTTGATATCTCAAATGCATCTGGAGATCTGGGAGGCTTCTTGCTGTCTGCTGACATTCAAATAATGGAGGTCTATGGCGCCCGAGGCAGAAAGGTCCATAAAAGTCCACAAAAAACGTGTCAATATTCCTCCATACTGCTCGTCCAATGTATTCCAAGTGTCCTGAGTGGGTAACGTCCATAATTTACTCGAAACGAAGTCATTTAGAATGTTTTTAGAGCATAAACAGTAGTGTATAGGCTTTCCTAAAAGCGCGTTCACGAGCCTACGGAAACCGCGGCAGACCAAACCAGATGAAAGTGCGCATTCAGCTCGGCAAAGAACTCATGCTCTTCCTCAACAATGAAGTCCTCAGACATTTTTCTTTCGTTGTTTCTTTCTTTGCACAGGTAAACAGCACATTTCTTCTTTTACGCTTGCATTATTGGCAGAGCAGACGCTGAATGCGCACTTTCATCTGGTTTGGTCTGCCGCGGTTTCCGCTACCCACTCAGGACACTTGGATTACATTGGACGAGCAGTATGGAGGAATATTGACATGTTTTTTGTGGACTTTTATGAACCTTTCTGCCTCGGGCGCCATAGACCTCCATTATTTGAATGTCAGCAGACAGCAAGAAGCCTCCCAGATCTCCAGATGCATTTGAGATATCAAAAAAGTACTCCAGAGTGTTGTTCAGCATGGGGGTGAGTAGAAAATGAAGGCTAATCATGTTTTGGGTGTACTATTCCTTTAACTCTAAACAATTTGGATTTAGACCAAGGTAATCCACTGAAATGGCTGTATACCATTTTACGGAATACATAAAAAGTAGATTGGATGGAGGAAAATGTGTTGGGGCAGCATTTCTAGATTTTACAAAAGCGTTCGATACTGTAAATCACACAGTTCTGTTAAGGAAACTGGAACAACTACATGTTTCGAAACAAACCTTAAGCTGGTTCAAATCTTATTTTGAGCAACGACATTAGTGCATCAAAATTAATGGCGTCAAATCTGGGATCCAAAAATGTAATGTGGGTGTACCACAGGGGTCCATTTTGGGCCCATTACTTTTCTGTTTGTACATAAATGATATCCCAAACATGTGCAAAGATGCCATCTGTGGGCGACAGTGGCGTTGGATGTAGGAGTTTTCCCTGAAATCGAAGGATTGACGGTTCAAGCCCCGACTCCGACTTTGTGTCGTCGTGTCCTTGGGCAAGATACTTCACCTGCATTGTCAACAATGCAGGTGGCTACAATGTAGCTTGCCACCATCAGTGTGTGAGTGTGTGTGTGTGTGAATGGGTGAATTAATGTAGTGTAAAGCGCTTTGGTCAAGTCTCCTGACTTGAATAAAGGCGCTATATAAGTGCATGCCATTTACCATCTGTCAAATGTATGCAGATGATACAATAATTTATGTGGCAGCAGGCACACCTGAAAAGGCCTCTGATCTGTTAAACAGACAGTTGTGCATCTTATCAGAGTGGCTCCAAAATAACTGCTTAACTCTGAACTACACCAAGACTGTCTCCATGTGTTTCTCCCTTAAGAAAATTATAAACAATGAATTCAAAATAATTATTAATCAACATGAAATAAAGCCGGCTGGTGAATTTAAGCATCTGGGGGTAGTTTAAGATTCAAAATTGAAATTTGATGCCCATATTAAGAAAATTACAAAAACTATAAAGAGAAATATAAACTGTTTTCGAATGATTCGACCATGTGTATCAAATCAAGCTGCACAAGTATATTTACATGCAATGATTTTATCCCATATGTCTTATTGCGCCATCGTTTGGGCCCAGGCCACAAAGTCTGTTTTAAAACCTTTACTCTCACTTCACAAGCAAGCATTAAAAATATTCAATCAAAAACCGGTGAAGTGACATCACTGCAAAATTATTAAAAAACACAATATGATGACATTTGAAAATTTTATAAATTTCTCATTTTTAAAAGCTATTTTTAAATGCCTTAATGGTCCTGCCCCTAAAGTAATCTGTAAATTTGTTTTAAAGTATGCAAATGAAGGAATCAGGACAAGAGCTGGAGCTAGTGGGAACTGCAGGATTAAAAGATGTCGGACATCTATGGGTCAGTCCGCCTTCTCAGTGAAAGCATCACATCTCTGGAACTCTTTGCCTCTGGAGCTTAAGTCACAGACTGATATTCAACTTTTCTCCACAAGATTGAAAAAATGGCTCAAAGACAATCAAGAGTGTGAGAACTGGCTTGTACTGTACATTTTTTTTTTTTATGCATCTGTGTGTCGTTACTAACCTCCCTCCCCCTTAATGCTAACACCTTTTAAAAGCCTAACCAGGGACGAAGGCTGCAAATTAGCCCATGGCTACAAGCCTTATGTACTTGGACATCGGCCACCTGTTTGGTTGCAATGTTTAATTGTACTGTCCCTGTCAAATAAACAAATAAAAAAAAAAGCTCAAAAATCTAATAAGAAGGCTAGTTCTGTTCTATGAACTCCTCTGGAGATTATTTGACAAAGAAGAATTGTTAATAATATGAAGACCATTATGGACAACAGTCAGAATCCTCTTCAGAGGATTTTTTTAAACAACAATAGAGTGTCTTCAGTCAGAGGCTTCTCCAGAACTGGTGTAAGACAGATCGATACAGAAAATCCTTCTTACCCACAGCTATCAACACCCACAACACCTGTTTAAAAAATATTATTATGAGTTACTGCAAATTCTAATTTAAAATTCTAATGTTTTAGAATTTCTACAGTCCAGTTAAGGGTTAACTAGTTTTTACATCAGTTGACTGCATTTAAATAATAAATTAATTAGATGAATTGTTTCAACATTTATGTAGATTCAACCAGAGATGCTTTTGAAACATATCAGCTTATGGCAAACCCTATGAAATATATTTTGGTTGTCAAAGAATGTCCCCAGTGTATTTCTAAATGTTTTGAGGGAAAAAAATGTACTTGGCAGGGGCGGTTTTAGGAAATTTGGGGCCCTAGGCAAAGACAGGCATGGGGCCTTTTGAAATGGGATGACAACAAACAAAGCAGACCCATATAACAGATACAGAATTTTTTTTATAGAATAGGCATACATTATTTGTTCTACCTTTTCTCCGTCTCTTTTTATCTCTTTTCTTGCTGTTTTCCTCTCTATGTTTTCTTTTGTCCCTTTTTTCATGTATGCAATGTGCTCAGCTGACTTTTAATGCAATCTCACAAGGTATGAAAGATTTTTTCCAATTACTAAGCCCTATCTAACTTAGCTGATTGCTCCTTCCTGTGTTTCCAAAAAGGCCAAAGTAAATAACCCAGTCCTTCTTTTCACTGTAGACCAGCCATGATCTGCTTCTCTGTTCTCCATTTTTCATTTAGATGAAATAATAGCTGCATGAATCATGACAGCAGACAAGATAGAGGAGAGCAGGAGGCGGGGTTACCAATCTACTCGCTCTGGAGAGCAGAGTTCGCTGCTTTTAGATGTTGTCTCCAAAGTCTCCAGTAGCAGAAAAAAGTCTCTAGATTTGGCGCTAGGAGCTTTTTTGAAATCAAAGTGCTAGAGGGGTCTGAAAAGTTGCTAAATATAGCGACAAAAGCGCTAAGTTGGCAACACTGCTCTTTGCATCGTTTGTTTTCAAATGGTTTGCTGCTGTCTGTTTGGACCTTTCAGTGTTGCCAACTCTACACTACTGTTTATGCTTTAAAAACATTTTAAATGACTTCGTTTCGAGTAAATTCTGGATGCTACCCACTCAGGACACTTGGAATACATTGGACGAGCAGTATGGAGGAATATTGACACGTTTTTTGTGGACTTTTATGGACCTTTCTGCCTCGGGCGCCATAGACCTCCATTATTTGAATGTCAGCAGACAGCAAGAAGCCTCCCAGATCTCCAGATGCATTTGAGATATCAAAAAAGTACTCCAGAGTGTTGTTCAGCATGGGGGTGAGTAGAAAATGAAGGCTAATCATGTTTTGGGTGTACTATTCCTTTAACCCCACACTGCTCCCTAAGGAGATGGGTTAAATGCAGAGAGTTAATTTCTCCATTGTGAGACAAAATAAAGCTCTAGTTTTCTATATTTTCCCTCTCTGACCATGCTGCACTGAGCTCTGGCTGCATGCTGACCCCTTTTCACGTTTCCTGTGGAGGAAAATCCAATGCATCAGAACCAACCAACAGAAGGCCACACATGTGTGAATCCCCCCGCTGACACCACATGAAGATGGATTGAGTAATAGGAGAGGGATGACAGCACGCTACAGCTGCAGGACAGCAGATGGCACCGCTGCGCCGTTCCTGCGGATTGTTCTTGGCACGGAGACGCGTCCACGTTGTTCACACTGTCTGCTTTCGCTCCAGTTCCCCTCTCCGTGTCCCACCCTCACTCTCTGCCTCTCCAGCGCACAGTGTACACCTATCTGTCTCCCACAAGCATCAGCAGCCTTTCCATCAGTCTCCGCGCTACTACGGCGCAAAGGCCATGGCACCTCTGCGCCCGGAACCTGCGGTCTGCTCCGCTGCGAACCTCTGCATCTTCCTGCTGACCGCCCTGGCGGTGTGGACGGCGCTGCCCGGAGCCGTGCGTTGTGACAGCGGGACTATAAGCCGGCGCGACGCGGAGGATCGGGCGTTTGATGCAGGCTCCGCGGCGAGTTCATCCCGCTTCAAGAGAGCCGCGTCTCTGGATAAACAGATGTCTCTGCTCAGCAGCTCGTTTGTGCTTAAAGGAGATGCGACGCACAACCAGGCGATGGTCCACTGGACAGGAGAGAACAGCAGCGTGAGTACCCCTGCCCTTCCCTTCCCGTCCCGTCCCGTCATGATCCGCTGGCCCATCACCGTCCCCTCCCCTCTTTGTCACCTTCCAACATCCATCAGCTCAGCTTCAGCCTCAGCGCACATCCCTACAATCAACTTATTGTTCCAGCTGGGTTTTATGGGAGACTGGAGGAGGAGGAACGCAGCAGGGTTTTACGCGTCCAGGTGGAGGCACCTGGACGCGCAGTAGATGGGCTTTGTTGTCGGGTCAGGGGCAAACACAAACCCCGATCCTCCGTCCATGCCACCTGGTGCCTTGGCTACCAGCATATTGTCAGAGGATTCCCGGGTTTTAGCGATCCTAACAGGGTTATCTTTAAGATAAGAGGAAACTACTGTGAATTGATTTGTGCCACTTTGCATTGTTCCATTCTGGTGCGTGTGTGAGCGCACAGAGCCCGCCTGGAGACGGGCGGTGCGCACAGAGCAGCCTTAGAACCACCATGCAAACTGTCATAAAGCTTTGTTTATTCGGAATGCTACACTACTTTATTTATAACATTTAATAATAGAGGTAGAGTGACATTTTAAAGGTATTTATTCCTCTTAAAGATTGACATAAACGAGTGTATTAATTGGGATTTTATGAGACAAACCAAAACACAGTGTGTAGTTATGATGTAGAAGGAAACGATTGGAGGTTTTTAGGATCTTATTTGACATAAAATTGTCTTTAAAGTGAAAGCCTACATCTTTAAAGGGGAACGCCTGCCATTTCAAAGGAGGCAACCCCACAGCATGATGGTGCCACCACCATAACAAGTTCAGCTTTTCTTTACTCTGATCTGAACGCTTTTTTACTCAGGTGTAAAATTTGGTTTCCTGTTTTTGGCTGCAGGTTGGTGCAGTTTGTAACATCGTTAGGTATCGGTAGGAAGGTCCTGGGTTCTACGATCTTCCTGCATTAAGCTTGTATGTTCTAGTCTTGCATTTGTGGGTTTCTGGGTATTTTGGCTTCACGGTCCAAAAAACATAACTATTAGGTTAACTGGCGACTCTAATCGACCCCTAAGTGGGTTTACAGTGACCTTTCACAGAGAGAATGATAGGAAAACCAGTAGAAAATGGATGGATGGACTTCTTGTACCTTTTTTTTCCCAACATTGCTTTTTTTTATTTCCACTATTTGGATGACAAACGTGTAATCCGCAATAGTTTCTTGCATAGATTCCAATCTGAGACGTAGATCTCTGCATCTCCTCTAGTTAACATTTCCTACACCTCTCCACATCTCTCACCCTGACCTGTCTGCAGTTTTCCTTTGTCTTTGTTTATTTTTTTTTGTAGTTTCTTATTTTTTTTAATAATGTTCTGAATCAAACCTCTGGAGTCTTTGCAGAACAGCTGCAATTATGATGAGATTAAATCACACACAGATGGTCTCTGTTTACTATTTAGCTGAAGCCAGCTGGTTTGCTTTCATTTAAGGGTGTCAGTTTAAAGGGGGTATGCCATGCATCTTTTCTCCTGCTGCTTCACAAATACTGTACCCCCTACTTAGTGTTAGTCGGCGGCAAAGAATCGACTCTTGTTTGGAACTGTTAAAATATGGAAGTGATTAAAGGGGTATATAGGTAAGATTTGAGCAGGAAAATAAGAGGGTTTTCCAGTAGAATAAGGTGATTTATGCTTAAAATAGAAATAAAATCCTCTGCATTATCTTATCTTAAATGCATAATATGGAATTTTCTTATTTAAAGGGCACAAATACTCATTCTATTGGCAGACCATCTTAGTTTCCTGCTGATATTAGGAGTAAATAGACTTGTTTTATGAAATAAGTGCTTATTTTTAGATCAGTTTTTGCAGTGTGTAGAAGGCTATATTAAGTTGTTTATTTAAAACTTTAGATAGACGGCCTTCAGGAGTTAACAGTGATGCTGCAAGACGCTCAAACATCACAGGTTTTCTGCTCCCATCTTAGTGATATTTTAAAGAATAATTGAAAAGCCCATTTTCAGAATTATTCCCCCCACCCTTCTCTCCTTTTGGATGCAGTCTATGGAGAGCACTGTAAACAAGTGCAGTCTTTGTGGATGGATATTGACAGACACCAGGCGGGGTGCGAGCGGCGGCCGTGTCTGCCGGGGACATCCCTCACAGTCAGAGCCGTCTTGTCTGCTTCGCCAGCACCTCTGGCAAAACGGAGAAGGAATGATGAGTCTAGAAGAAAAGATGAATGTCTGCAGGATTGAGACAAAACGTTTGGTAAATAATGTGACATGAGCAGACAGACTATTACGGGATTGTGGCAGACACAGAAGATGATTTAAAGCTGCTTTGCTTATTGATTTAAAACCAACAGAGAAGGGGGGGGAGCTGAACAGAAGCTGAAGATTTGGAGAATTAGAAGAACAAAACTGAGGAGCTGCTTTGAATGCAAATAGATCTGATTTTTTATTGTTACATTTTGCATGCTGGATCTTTTAAGTTGATGTGAGATTTCACTCTGCTGCATTTAGAGCTATGATGCTAAAACTCTAACTGTGCATTTTTTCCTCTAAACATGTGGCTGTTTAATTGTTTTTATTCATACATGAGTGGATCTTCCCAGTTTAGCTCCTCCTGCATAACTGCACCTTTTCCAGCATCGATCAGGCTATTAAGAGCTTGGAGCGCTGACCAATGATGCTTTGATATAGTGAAGATTAGACTGCTGACCTTCTGTTTGGAGAACCTGCTCAGCTTCTTTTTTACATGCAATGCATTTTTCTTTCACATATTCTTGCAAATTCATGTCTGATTTTAAATTGGTTTGATCATTTTCCCACCATATTTAAAGACTGAAATATTTGCATATTGTATTAATTGTTGAATATTTAGAGAAAGTTTTTTTTTTTTTTAGCACAAATTTATAGGGATTACATTTTTGGCAGTGTTTAAATAGTAATTAAATATTTCTTATATTTTATCACATTTCTGTTTGCCTTTAACTCAGTTGTTGTTGTTGCCTTGTATTAAATTTAATCTTCCCCTCCATTTATCGCTTCAATTTACTCTTTGTTGCCTTAGTTGCATTTGAAAGCTAAAATATCTGCTTTCCTGGTAAGAAAAATGAAATAAAATCAGAGTTCCTACTTGCATAGTTAGAGTTCAACAGGCAGTTCTGAGCTCAGGTTAAATATGACCTACGGAGTAAAATTCAACTCTGTATTGAGTGAAATGGTGTTGGAGTTGTTCTCACTTTATGCTAAATTGAGTAAATTTTAATCTAGTGGAATAAAACACAAACTCTAGATAGAGTAGAAATAACTCTGAAAATTTAACTCTATGCTGTGAGTAAATATTCACTCTTTTTGGACTGGGACCAAATATTGTGTTTTTGGGAGTAAAGTTTTCCTCAAATTGAGTAAATTTTACCCCTCCTCCACATTCGTAGGTAAAGCTTCATCAGAGTGTCATTTCTCCTGGACTGCCAGAAGACCGCTTTGTTGAGCCTGGTTCTGCCAGTGGTTTCTTCCCAATGGGGAGTTTTTCCTCTCCACTGTCGCTTCATGCTTGCTCATCATGGACAGGTTCTCTTAGCCTGTGTTATCCAAGCTGGTCTTCCATCTTCCAGGTCCCTGAGTGAAGCTCTGGTATCAGCTCACGCAGTCCACTGGATCTCCCCATAAAGCCAACTTCATCTATCTCCACTCCACCACCAGTTTCAGGCCTGGGGGGGGGGAAACAGCCCTATTCTTTGCTCCTGTTCATGCATATCTATCAAAATTCAGCGCTATGTTTCCTGCCGAGGTCTGAGCGCCAAAGACAAAGTAATTGTATCAATAAATTTCTCCTAATTATCTTTTCTCTTTTTGGGAATTTTTCTGACTGAATTGATATATTGCAATTTTTTTTATAATAATATTGCTCTGGAGAACCTCAGGAGATCTTATTGTTGCATGTATGCAGAGCAGCTTAATAACCACTAGGCCGCCACTCCCCCTCAATCATTAAACTTAACCATAATTAACCTTTTTTTTTTTTTAACCATAATTCAAAATTGAATTAACATCTTTTGGGTATGAGCTAACAGCAAACCCACATGGAAATACATTGTGGTTGATCAAATTTAAGTGTAAACCACATGATATATTGGGTTTAAATTCCTCCATTAATCTGAGACAGTTTTTCTTGTTGTGTTATAGATAAAACAACTTTGAATCTTCCTTTTAATGGTCAAACTAGCATTAGGGTTTTTAGTGGTCAGCTAGCTACTCTTGGAATATATGTTAAAATAGAATTAACAATTCAATTCGGTTTATTTCTATAGCGCCAATTCAAAACACATGTCATCTCAAGCCACTTTACAGTTCACCAGATCATCCAGTCAGATTGATTCAAAGTTTTCTATCTAAAACAACTATCGAAAACCAGTTGATTGCACTGACACATTGACTCTTCAGCAATCCCTCACACTAAGCATGCTTGAAGCGACAGTGGAGAGGAAAAACTACTTTTAACAGGAAGAAACCTCCAGCAAAACCAGGCTCAGTGTGAGCGGCCATCTGCGGAGGCCGACTGGGGTTCAAGGAGACAGAAGCAGACATAGAAAAAGAAGCATAGATACAAAAGGCAACTGTCAACTAGCTCCACAGGTGGTGGAAAAAAAAGGCTGATCTCCAACATCTAGAAACAAAGGTGTTGATGGCAGCAGCACATCAACACCGACATATCGACATAAAACACTTATAATTTTTATTTTATACTACATTTATTTCTATATTTATCATGAGAGTCAGCCAACTATTACAGACAAGCATTGATTTAGCTGCAAATGTCTTAATATTTGGCACCAACTTAACAGTTTGTTCAGTGAGTTGATTAAAGATTAAACAGCTTTGATCAAACAGGTCTAGATGTCAAAGCAAATAAAGGTTTGAAATGAGTGTTAACTTTCAGCTAAAGTTGTAGTTAAACAAACAGCTCAGGGCCTTTTTTTTTTATGACATGGTGCAGCCAAGGAATAACTTCTAGAAC